CCTGGCCATGGGACTGATGGTGCCAGGTTCTTTCAGCATGTTTCCCCAGGTCGGCCGGGTAAGTGTTCCCCCCTCCCCTGCCCCATCCCAGAGTTTTCTTACAAATCTTGTGGTGGTGACAGTTAAACAAATAAATAAGTTTCTTTTTTTAAATGTTTATATTTACTTTTATTATTTTTTTAAGTTTAGTTTTGATGATGATTGCACAGTTGAGAAGGGTGCATGCCCATGTGAACCATGAATTAGGGTGGGAAGGGTTGAGGAACAGGGCAAGGTGGGTGAGACCATTATTTCCAATTTTTCTTTTTCTTTTTCCTGTATCTGGAGAAAGGGAGAGAAGGGGAAAAGCTGCAAGATTTATTTTGGTTTTTATTGCAGTTAGATTTACAGAGAGAGAGAATCTTCCATCTGCTGGTTCACTCTACAAATGGCTGCAGTGGCTGGAGCTGAGCCAATCTGAAGCCAGGAGCCAGGAGCTTCTTCCAGGTCTCCCACATGGGTCCAGGGTCCAAAGCTTTGGGCCATCCTCCACTGTTTTCCTAGGCCACAAGCAGGGAGCTGGATGGGAAGTGGAGTTGCTGGGATTAGAACTGGTGCCCTTATGGGATTTCGGCGCATTAAGGCAAGGACTTTCAGCCGCTAGGTCACCAAGGTGGGCCCAGAAGCCACGTTTTCTAAGTAGATGGCTTAATGTTACACTTTGATGTAAAAAGCCCTATTCCACATAAATACTGCTTACGAATCCTCCGTCCGATGATTCACTCCCTTAGTGAGCCATAACGGCTGGTACTGTGCCGATCCGAAGCTAGGAACCAGGAACCTCCTCCAGGTTTCCCACGTGGGTGCAGGGTCCCAAAGCCTTGGGCCGTCCTCGACTGTTTTCCCAGGCCACAAGCAGGGAGCTGGATGGGAAGTGGAGATGCTGGGATTAGAACTGGCACCCATATGGGATCCCGGCGGTTCAAGGCGAGGACTTTAGCCGCTAGGCCACGCCGCCAGGCCCTGCAATAAAATCTTAAAAAACAAAACAAAACAAAAAACATGGTTTATGATTGCATCAGCACCCGCACATAAGGCTAGGGTAGCCCTTTTACAGAAGCCTTTCAAGTTGGTGGGATTTCTGGTTGCTGGGATCTAGTTAGTTCTCTCTCTTTGTCTCTCCTAATTTAAAACTCAAGGAAAGCCCGGAGCAGTAGCCTAGTGGCTAAAGTCCTCACCTTGCATGCGATGCATCCCATATGGATACTGGTTCATACCCCAGCTGCTTCACTTCCCTTCCAGCTCCCTGCATATGTCTTGGGAAAGCAGTAGAGGATGGCCCAAACTGTTGGGATTCCACGCAGGAGATCTGGAGGTAGCTCCTGGCTCCTGGTTTCGGATCAGCTCAGCTCCAGCTCTTGTGGTCACCTAGGCAGTGAACCAGCACATAGAAGATCTTTCTGTCTCTCCTCCTTCTCTCTGCAAATTTCTTCTCAATTAAAAAAAAAAAATGATTCAAGGAAACACCTCATCCTCCATGGGGGATGCTTGTAGAAATAAGATCAGCAATTGTGCATGGTGCCTGCAGGTGTGAACACATGAGGGCATGTTGCATTTTTTTTCTACCTTAATTTATATTTTAAATTCTCCACCCCAAAAGCTGGGTGAGAAGGCTGGCACTGTGGCACAGCAGGTAAAGCCACCACTTGGGATGCCAGTCTCCCTTCTTGGAGCCTCAGTTCAAGCCCTGGCTACTCCACTTCCAATCCATTTCCTACTGACGCACCTGGATAGACCCACGTCCTTGAGCCCCAGCCACCCACAGATGGAGCCGGAGGGATGTACCCCTGGGGCCCTGACTGGCAGCTAGCCCTTTGCTGTGGGGAGTGAACTGTGGATGGAACACCTCACCCTCCCTCTCTGTCACTCTACCTTTCCTTCTTTGATTTTAAGATTTGTTTATTTGCATTGGAATGGCAGATTTCCAGAAAGGAGACAAAGAACTTCCATCCACTAAATGGCTGCAACAGCTGTGGCTGCTCTGATCCAAAGCCAGGAGCCTCCCCAGCTCTCCCACACCCAAGGCTCCAGGCCATCCTCCACTGCCTTCCCAGGCCACAGGCAGGGAGCTGGAAAGGAATTGGAACCACTGGGACATGAACCAGCGCCCAAGTGGTGCTCGCAGGGAGAGAATCAGCCGATGGAGCCCTTGTGCCATGCCCCCACTCTGTTTTCAAGTAAACAAATAAGAATTATTAAAAAGATATTTTTGCTATATACTAGGCATCACTGGAGATGACCGTGAGATGGTTGCCTCTGGAAGGTGAGTGTACTCAGTCCCTCTGAGCAGTGTGCCTTTGGTTGCAGATCGAGCGCGCCAAGCTTGAGGAGGAAATCCAGGCGCTGACAGAAGAAGCAGAACTCTTCTATCACAGGGGTGTGTAGCGGCTTATCTCACCTGCCGACCTCAGGGGGCAGTTCCAGCTTAGAGACCTCTGCCAGTGGGCTTCCAGAGATGCCACAGGCACCTGTGACAGGTGTCTTATGACGCCACGTGCTCAGACAGTTGGCCAGGCCAGCCAGGTCTGGGCTTTTGAGGCTGCCAGAGAGGCAGTAGGCAGGTGGGTGATGGGAGTCAGCCTGGGAAAAGAAAACTGAAATTACTAATAAACTTGTCTGAGAACTTGGACAAATAAAGTGAATGGCCATCCATGCTCAGGACACAGGTGCTAAGGTGGTCGCCCATCTCAGGAGGGACATGGTGAACCTCGGCTGAAGCCTCCTGCCCACATGCACCTGCTGCCCACTCAGCGTCCCGCGTTGTGGACAACTCTGAACGCCTTTGCCAGCTCCTCCCAGCTCCTTCTTCCTCATGTTCAACCTTGGCTCCTCTCTTACCACGAAAGCCCAGGCCAAGGGCCAGCAGTGTCCTCCGCTGGCAAGCCTCCCTGACCCATAGCCAGTCTGTCCCCGTGTGTGGTCAGTTGTCCCCCAGACTTTGGGTCCTCCTGTGTGGCTTGTGGTCCTTTCTGGTTCCAGCCTCCTGCTGGCTTCTTCATGTCATTTTTTTTTAAGTTTTTTTTTTTTTTAAGATTTATTTTTATTGGAAAGACAGATATACAGAGAAGAGGAGAGACAGAGAGGAAGATCTTCCGTCTGGTGATTCACTCCCCAAGTGACCACAACGGCCGGTGCTGATCCAATCCGAAGCCAGGAGCCAGGAACTTCTTTCCAGGTATCCCATGCAGGTGCAGGGTCCCAATGCTCTGGGCCATCCTTGACTGTTTTCCCAGGTCACAAGCAGGGAGCTGGATGGGAAGTGGAGCTGCTGGGATTAGAACCGGCGTCCATGTGGGATCCTGGCGTGTTCAAGACGAGGATCCCAACCACTATGCTATTGCACTGGCCCTCTTCATGTCATTTTAGCTGTTCCAAATTTTCGATATTGTTTAAGAAAGAAGTGTGCTCACTGGGAGGTGTAAGCGATGGCTCCTTGTGTCCCATGCCATCTGCATTCCTAGATTCGTCCCGCCCAAGCCCTGCTGTTGAGGACATTTGGGGAATGAACCAGCAGGTGGAAGATCTTTCTCTGTCTCCACCTTTCAAATAAATAAGTGTTCAATAAATTGCTACAGTTACCTGGCCTATTGGAAAAGCATGAGCAAGGTAACTGTTAAGCCTTGTGGTTAAGCTAATCCCATTTCTGGGCGTCTGGATTCAGTCTCTGGCTCCAGCCCTTCCTGCCGGCGCAGGGCCCGAGGCAGCAGTGCTGTCTCAGGTGATTAGGTCCATGCCACCCCACACTGGAGTCGTGCCCTGTGTCCTGGCTTCCGGCTTTACTGTAAGGACATCTGGGGAGTGAACCGGCAGATGAGAGCTCTGTCTTTGCCATTCAAATAAATCAGCAGAAAAAAAAAAACCACCTGCGCATAGTCAGACTGGAGTTGTCTGTCCTGTCTCCTGCCCCTTCATGGTCATCCATGACCATGGATGCTGCAACCTGCTGGGCTTTTCTGACTTCCCACAGCACCACAAACTGCACGCATCCGCACTGGAGATTGGCTCTCTATGATGGGAAACTGTACCCCCACTGAACCAGCTGTGTCCCTCCTTCCCTGTACCCCTCCCTAACTCAGCGGGATAGGGTCCAGTCCCAGAATTTGCTGCATGTGGCTGCCGCTGCCTGGCTTGGTGCAACAGCGCCCTCTGCTGGTCCTGCTCCCTCCTGCCGCCCAGCCCCCTCTATCCGTTGCCCAGCTTGTCTTAGACCACACTGGCTTGGAAGCCTTAAGTAGCCCCGAAGTCAGGAACAAGCCCAGACCCTCATCGCAGCAGACAAGGGCCTTAACCTTCTGACACTGGCTCTCCCAGCGCTGGATCCACGTTCCGCTCCTCGCAGGCGCTGTGATTCTTCCAGGCCTTCATGCAGGCTGTTCCTTCTGCTTACCTTCAGGTCTTTTGTGGACACCAATTGCTGCCTCAGAGGCGTGGTACTGAATTAGGTGTTCCTGCTTTGTGCTCTCATAGTACCCTGCTTCCTATGTCTGGTCTAGCCCTGACCACGCTATTGCAAAAGCCACTAGTGAGTCCTGTTCCCCTACAGGCCACTCAAGCCTCCAGAGCAGCTCCTGCCTTGCCCATGAGAGCCCCGGATGGCACACACGGTACAGACAGCACCCACCCCTCCTGTGTGGGCGCTGCTTCCAGAATGTCATACTCCCAGTAGCCAAAGCAAGCACCGTGACTTTCAGTTGGCCCTGGACCCGGCTTTTTCCAGACCGGGTCCCCACAATCTGTAGATAGAATGGGTGTGCATGGGCTGCCATGTGGCTTGGTCCAGCCGCCGGCTCACACTAAGAAAAATGCAGAGAACCAGAGAGTCAGAGGTTGCAGACAGAGGCTGGGTGGCTGAAGGGGAGAGGGCCCACGCAAGGGGTGGCAGGTGGAGGGAAGGGGTTCCCTTCTGACACACCGGGAGATTTAGGGGGGAAGAGGGTACAGTTCTTGACTAAAACTTTGTGATCAAAATATTTTCATTTTATTTGTACAGCATAAATTTTTAATTTTAACAATTTTGTTAGTGAATAATGCCAAAAAAGGGTGAGAAATGTTAGTATTCATGTTCATAAAGTGCAGGTGTCAATCCCAGCTGGGTGCCTTAGTAAACTCTCATTTTGGAGCCTCCCCTCTCCCCACCCAAAGGAGGGAGAAAAGACTAATTTTTTTAAACCAAGAAAAAGCAAAAGTTCAAGCAAACATATGTGTTTCCAGGTAAGACTTGGCAGACAGCAGTACTGAGTGAAAAATCATCTTTCCACAAGAACAGAAACACATGGACTAGAATAACGAGCAGGTAACAGACCTCCACGCTTACTCGGCATTTTCAAGGTCTCCAAGTATGAAAAAGGGGTACCCCCTTGGATAAGAACAGGTAGCCGGGACGCGTGGGCAGATTCTGCTGACATGGCTGGAAGACACTGTCTGGTTTTGGCCCCCGCAGGAAGTGAAGATGCACTTCCTCACCCGGAGTCACTGCTCGCAGCAGACAGCCCCGCCACGGGCTTCCGGTTTTCCTGTCACACAAGGACTGGCGTCTTCCAAAGGGACTGCCAGCAGCAGTGCTAAACGGGGGGTGACACCCCAAGGTCGTCACCAAGGCTGCTGCGGCCAGAGAAATATGGATTATCAAAGCTGCCTACTCAGGTATAAAACCTGCGCAACATCCTTATAAGACAAAATGTTCAAAGGCCAAGAAAGTGAGACTGCCAGGACCTCCAGACATGTTCTCGATAGTTCTGCAGACAACCTGGCAGCCCTGCTGGGAAACAGTCTGTCCAGGAGGACGCAGGGCCAAGTGGCAGGCAGCTGCGACGGGGCCCTATGCCCGGAGACCCACGGGAAGGGGCGGCGAAGGCTGCCCCAGCAGCCACGGCTTGTGTTTGGGCTCCAGGACACTGGGCCACTCTGTGACGTCACTTTGTCCACCTCTGACCACGGGCAGGAAGCTGATCCGCTGGGAGGCAATCACAGGTGTGTTCATGGGTTTCAGTGTTTGGGTCAAATCTCAAGCCTTCAGGTAAATCATTAGAAATATAACCTTTTCTCTGCTAATTTTGATATTTTACATGGTTCATGGGAAGTCAGAGTGACAGGGCTCCAGTTCAGCCACCGGCAGGGCACCTGCCATCAGGTTTGCAGCATCTGCTCGGCCGCCGCCAGGTGGTACAGGAAGTTCTCCGTGGCTGGTGGGAACCGCTTCTGCCGCAAGGCCTCCACATTGAGGACCACCTTCCCTCCATCGTCCGACACTTCTGAGAACGGTGCCATGTGGGTGAAGATTTCCTTTGTCTTCAGGGCAATGTCCTTTAACAGAACAAGCAAATATGTAATACATTCGTATCCAGAAATCAGAACAGCTGGGGTTGGCCCGTGATGCGGCAGGTAGAGCTGCCATCGGCGACACCAGCATCTCCTAGGTGTGCTGGTTGTGGCCCTGCTGCTTCAGTTCCCATCCAGCTTCCTGCTAATGGTCCTGGGAAAGCAGCAGGAGATGGGCCAAGCCCTTGGCTCCTGGCTCCCACACGGGAGCAGGCTCCCTCCGAAGCCCTTGGCTCCTGGCTTCGGACCAGCCAGTACCGGCTGTTTTGGTCACTTGGGAAGTGAACCAGCTGATGAACAGAACGCCCAGCTCTCCCTCTCTCTAACTCTGCCTTTCAGGACAAATCGATCTTGCAAAACAAAAACAAACAAAAAAATTGGAGGAGCATTCTCTAGAATTTTTTCTGCTAGTTTACATTTTTATCAGATTAGTTTTATAAAATCATAAACCTAAAATTCAATGTCACAGACTTTTTTTTTAACACTTTAGATGTTTTCAAGTACAAATGCTGAGGGCTCATCTGCAGCTGAGTGACTAACGGGGCAGACCCACGACACTGTGGCTCCCACTCATCTGCCGGGGGCACCCAGGCTCCTCCAACTTCTCGGCTATTAAGAATGACGTCCCTCTGCATATTTGCACGCCAGGATCTGCTTGAGTCCCTGCTTTCCACTCTTCCTTTTTTAACATTTGTTTTTATTGACAAGGCAGACTTACAGAAAGAAGAAGAGACAGAGAAAGATTTTCCATCTGCTAATTCACTCCCCAAGTGGCTGCAACAGCTGAACTGATCTGAAGCCAGGAGCTTCTTCCGGGTCTCCCATGTGGGTGCAGGGTCCCAAGGCTATGAGCCATCTGTTGTTGCTTTCCTAGGCCATAGGCAGGGAGCTGGAAGGGAAGTAGAGCAGCCAGGACATGGACCAGCACCCATGTGGAATTCTGGTGCTTGCAAGGTGAGGACTTTAGCCACTGGGACCGGTACTACCCTGGGTAGAACTGCTAGGCCATATGGAAATTCGATCTTTAGCTCTTTGAGAAGCTGTCCGTTTTTTCCACACATATCTCCCTCCCCTAGGGCGTGTGTTCCTTCTGGGGGCACCGCAGACTGTCTGTCCTGGCTCACTGATGGCACTAGTTCTTTCAGACATTCTGAACCCCTGTGCCCTCTGAGCGCTGTCACTCCCCTTCGCCCAGGACCCGGCACTGCACTGAGTCACCTGTGCACCAGTCGCACTCCATGAACAACACAAGTGTTCAAAGCTTAGAGGGGCCGGCCAGCACTACGGCACAGCAGGGTAAGCCGCACCCTGCAGTGCTAGTTTACATCCCAGCTGCTGTACTTCCACGTGCTGAGCTCCCTGCACCTGCATGGGAGACCCAGAAGAAGGTCCAGGCTAGGGCCCTGCGCAGTAACCTAGTGGCTAAAGTTCTCACCTTGCATGCACTGAGATTCCATATGGGCGCCGGTTCTAATCCCGGCAGCTCTACTTCCCATCCAGTTCCCTGCTTGTGGCCTGGGAAAACAGTTGAGGACAACCCAAAGCCTTGGGACCCTGCACCTGCATGGGAGATCCAGAAGAAGCTCCGGGCTCCTGGCTTCGGATTGACTCAGCTCTGGCTGTTGCGGCCACTTAGGGATTGAATCAGCGGACAGAAGATCTTCCTCTCTGTCTCTCCTCTTCTCTGTATATCTGACTTTACAATAAAAATAAATAAATCTTAAAAAAGCAGCAGCAGCAGCAGCAGCTCTAGGCTCCTGCTTCGGCCTGGCACAGCCCATGACTGCTGTGACCATTTGGGGAGTGAACTAGCAGATGCAAGATCTCCCCATTTGTTGCTTCTCTTTTTAACTCTGCCTTCAAATAAATGAATAATCTTAACAAAAAAAGAGAGGAGAAAAAGAAAAACCTTAGGATCCCATATTTCATCTGGAGTTTCTTTCCCCTGGGATGGGAGGAAGGGTGGCAACAATAACCCCCATTGGGAGGGAATGGAAAAAGGTTCTCCACAGAGCCTCAAAAGCCAGGTCCTTGGGACAGAACCCGTCCACCCTCCCTGGCCGTGGCTGGGCAGGTCATGGCACCGAACAGAAAGCACAGCTGGGAAGTCCCAGGCAAGCCCTGCAGAGCCTCCTGCCCACATGCCTGCCCTGGCTCTGCCATGACTTCCAGGTATACTGTCGCTCAGCCACTCCACTAACGTGCAGGTTCTGCAGGCCAAGAGACCATGCTCACCTCTGGACCCACGTGCCCAGTGCTCAGTGGAGAAGTGAAGAAATGAGCCAGGTCAGGCCAGATAAGCAGCACCCGCCTGGCACAGGTGCAGACTGGGCAAACAATCCCCGCCATGGAGCGGAAGGCCGGCTTCCAGATGAGCAAGGCCCAGGAGGGGCTCAGGGTGTGTCCAGAGGAGCGGGGACCAGGCCAAACAGAGGCAGCAGACAGAGGGTTGAGTCCTGCTAAGCTGCACTCAGGCAGAGGCCAGGTGGCTCTGCAGGAACAGAGAGAGGGTGCCAGCTGGAGAACATGACACTCTGGCCAGCCTGGCTATGGGGTGTGAGGGCAGTCGGTCTAATGGGATACAGGCTGACAATCTGTTCCCACGTTCAGCAGCAACCCTGGCTCCACGGTTTGCTGCTCCCTGAACATTCTCAAAGGAGAGGGAAAGCTCTGGCTGGCACTAGGCAGGGACCCTAGACCTGTGATTACATGTTACTAAGACCCCATAGTAAACCACACTCGATCATTCATCACACCAAGGCCACAGTGCAATTCCCTCACAGCCCCCAGTGGCTGTTCCCCTGACCATTCACTCTGTGCATGGGCACAGCAGGTGGAGCCCTCTGCCCCTTCACTCTGCGCATGGGCACAGCAGGTGTAAGCCCTCTGCCCCTTCACTCCGCACATGGGCACAGCAGGTGGAGCCCTCTGTCCCTTCACTGCGCATGGGCACGGCAGGTGTAAGCCCTCTGTCCCTTCACTGCACATGGGCACAGCAGGTGTAAGCCCTCTGCCCTTTCACTGCACATGGGCACGGCAGGTGTAAGCCCTCTGTCCCTTCACTCTGCGCATGGGCACAGCAGGTGTAAGCCCTCTGTCCCTTCACTCTGCGCATGGGCACAGCAGGTGTAAGCCCTCTGCCCCTTCACTCCGCACATGGGCACAGCAGGTAGAGCCCTCTGTCCCTTCACTGCGCATGGGCACGGCAGGTGTAAGCCCTCTGTCCCTTCACTGCACATGGGCACAGCAGGTGTAAGCCCTCTGCCCTTTCACTGCACATGGGCACGGCAGGTGTAAGCCCTCTGTCCCTTCACTCTGCGCATGGGCACAGCAGGTGTAAGCCCTCTGTCCCTTCACTCTGCGCATGGGCACAGCAGGTGTAAGCCCTCTGCCCCTTCACTCTGTGCATGGGCACAGCAGGTGTAAGCCCTCTGTCCCTTCACTCTGCGCATGGGCACAGCAGGTGTAAGTCCTCTGTCCCTTCACTCTGCGCATGGGCACGGCAGGTGTAAGCCCTCTGTCCCTTCACTGCACATGGGCACAGCAGGTGTAAGCCCTCTGCCCCTTCACTGCGCATGGGCACAGCAGGTAGAGCCCTCTGTCCCTTCACTGCACATGGGCACAGCAGGTGGAGCCCTCTGTCCCTTCACTGCACATGGGCACAGCAGGTGTAAGTCCTCTGCCCCTTCACTGCGCATGGGCACAGCAGGTGTAAGTCCTCTGCCCCTTCACTGCACATGGGCATGGCAGATGGAGCCCTCTGCCCCTTCACTGTGCATGGGCACGGCAGGTGGAGCCCTCTGTCCCTTCACTGCACGTGGGCACAGAAGCTGTGACCAGCGCTGTCACATATTGACCGTCCCCCAACCCCTGTCCCACCAGTGCGGGATTCACTTATCGCTGCCAGGTGGGAAGACTAGAGACAAACCTGTATAACTTGGCTGTCCGACTTCTCTGGGTCATCTGCAGATTGAACGATCAGCTGCCCAATTTCTTTGTGCAGCTTGCCCATCGTCATGGCCTCTAGAGAGAGCAGGAAGATGTCACATGAACAGTGAGATGTTTATGTAATAAATAAAAATAAAAAACAATCATCCCCTCTACCTGCAAACTGAAGGGACTTTTCAGAACATCACCCACCACTCCCACCTTCCCATTCACTACTGGCCACAAACACGGCCACGAGCAGCAGGGCACACACCATCACCAAGAAAACATCAATACCAAAGCAATCTCCCCTCCACCCAATAAGAATTTTTTATTTTCCTTCCCAAACAAAATCGAGGGAAAAGTTCTGATGAGCAAATGGCTTTCTTTAAGCCAAGAGCCTGACGTGCTCAGGTCTTCACAGTTAAGAACTGAACTTCCTGGGGCCTGGCAGCATGGCCTAGTGGCTAAAATCCTCGCCTTGAATGCACTGGGATCCCATATGGATGCCAGTTCTAATCCCTGCAGCTCCACTTCCCATCTCATTCCCTGCTTGTGGCCTGGGAAAGCAGTCGAGGACGGCCCAAAGCCTTGAGACCCTGCACCCATGTGGGAGACCCAGAAGGGGTTCCTGGTTCCTGGCTCTGGATCGGTGCAGCACCGCCCGTTGCAGCCACTTGTGGAGTGAACCAGAGGACGGAAGATGTTTCTCTCTGTCTCTCCTCCTCTCTGGATATCTGCCTTCCCAATAAAAATAAATAAATCTTAAAAAAGAAAAAAAGCAGCAGAAGAATTTATCTTCCTGGAGGCATCGCTGCGACAGCAGCACTGACAGTCCGGCAGCCAGCTGAGCATTCGAGGTACTAAAGCCCTCCCAGACGAGCACAGGAAGCCGCCGGTTCTGATGCGGTTAAACTGCTCACTGCGGCCCTCTCCCCTTCTCCCTTCCTCCCCGCCAGTACAGGAAGGAAAAAAAACTGGAAGCAACTGTCTCATCTACTCTCTCTCCGTCCTGGTCTCTTTCTGCCCTACTCAGTGGGCCACACGGGCATGCATCCTCAATTATGCAAACATCATCAAAAATAAAATAAATTTTTTAATTGGAAAAAAAATAGCTCTGGCAGGTTCCCCAATACTGGCCTTAAACAATCAGCCTGAAAGCCACAGCCGCTTACACCTCGGGTGGGGAGCAGAGGAGAACCGACCTTTCGCCAGTGGAGCCACGGTGATCTCGCTGTCCGCCAGATTCACGAACACGTCATAGAGCTCCGGCCTGTTGCTCACCTCCAGGTCCACAAAGCCAGCGACGTAACCTGCAGTGCAGAGGGCACCAAGGCCGCCCAGCCAGAAGGACCGGGCCCCAAGAGGGGGAAGTGCGCAAGGTCATCAGCTGCAGGTGGTTCTCCATTTTCTTTATTCACAAGACACTAAGTCTCCTCAGCATTTCTTAGCATTACACTGCGTGAACAAATTCCTACAATCGACTGCTCCAAAGTTACACTGCAATCAGTAGGGAGGGTGCTTGGAGAATTGCATAGAAACCTGCCATAGGACCCAGCTACCCCGCTCCTACGAATACACCCAATACAAGTGAAATCTGCATATGAGAAGGGGATCTGTAATCCCATATTTGCAGCAACACAATCTACAGTAGCAAAGACATGGAAACAATCCAGATGTGCGGTCAAAGAAGGGTGGTTAAAGAAACTGTGGTACCTCTCCTCCATGGAATATTATTCAGCTATTAACAAGAATGAAATCATACTATTTACAACTAGGTGGTCCCAACTAGAGACCATTTTGCTCAGTGAAATGAGTCAGTCACTAAAGAACAAATACCATTTGTTTTCTCTTATCTAAGAAAACCAGCATGGAAAGTGTAACTTCAATAATCCAATCCATACTGTTTTTTGTTTGTTTGTTTGCTTATTTTTTGATTGTATCCATGTGTTTTGATGTTTTTTATTTCAGTTTGGTTTATTCCAAATAATCCCTTTTCTCTTGTCGAATTCATCACTGGCTCATGTTACTCAGTGGCATCATTTTCCCAAGACACCTTTGTGTTTGCTTTCTGTCACTCATGTGTTGGTCACTCAGCGAGGCGTTTTTTTCATGGTGCTGTAATTTGTTGTTGATGCTGCTGTTGTTGTGGCTGTTCTAACTCATACCAGTTGTTGACCTTGTTTCATGGCTTCTCAATTATGGAAATGTATAGTGATGGAGTACTGGGGTCTACCATATCCAGATGTGGGAGTATAATGCAACAGGCATCCCTGCTTCCAGACGAAAGCTGGATTCCCAATGAAACTGTTGGACATGTGTAGACAACGGGATGCTGGACTGGCTGACATTGTCTGTACCAGCAATGTCAGGGTACACTTAAATAAGAGACTGACAGAATTATGATTCTTTGTGAAAGACTACACCATTGTAGTACAATGGGGAAAATCTGTCAGGGATGGGAGTTTGGGGTAGAATCCCAGTTTATATGAAACTGTACCACATAATTCAAAATTCAAAATAAAAATACATTTAAAAAAATAAGGGTCTGGCATGATAGCGTAGCATTCATGTAGGGCCATGAACGCACCCAGATCCCATATAGGTGCCAGGTCTAATCCCAGTAGCCCTGCTTCCCATCCAGCTCCCTGCCTGTGACCTGGGAAAGCAGTCAAGAACAGCCCAAAGCTTTGGGACCCTGCACCCGTGTGGGAGAACTGGAAGAGGCTCCTGGCTTTGAATTGGCTCAGCTCCAGCCATTACAGCCGCTTGGGAAGTTAACCATCGGGATGGAAGATCTTCCTCTCTGTCTCTCCTCCTCTCTGTATATCTGACTTTCCAACAAAAAATAAATAAATTTTATAAGACTTGGATGATATAAAACTTAAAAAACAAAAACAAAAACAAAATAAATAAATTTTAAAAATCTTTAAAAAATAAATCGTAAAAAAAAAAAGAAAGAAAGAAATTACACTGCAACATCGAGGAGCAGGGCTGAAGACAAACATTTCCTTTCAGCAGGGGGTGGCAGGATCCACTTTGGTCAACGTGCTTCCTCCGTTCAGATCTGAGTGGCACAGAGTTGCTGCACACAGACTGGCTCGAGCACCGGGCTGGCGCTGCGGTGCAGCACGGGAAGCTGCTGCCCAGAGCAGCAGTGTCCCACAGGGGTGCCACTTCCAGTCCTGGATACTCCACTTCCAATCCAGCTCCAGCTTCTCCCACACGACTGCAGTGGCCTGAGTACTTGGGCCATCCTGCTCCGTCTTCCCACAGTCTTCCCAGCACATCAGCAGGGAACTGGATTGGAAGTGGAAGAGCTGGGACTCACGGCAGCGCCCATATGGCATGCTGGCATTCCAGTCGGAGGCTTAGCCTCTATAGCACTATGCCAGACCCAGGAGTTTTTTTTTTTTTTTTTAAGAAATAAAAAATGGGGTCCAGCACAGTAGCCTAGTGACTAAAGTCCTCGCCTTGCATGCCCTGATCCCATATGGGCACCAGCTTATATCCCAGCTGCTCCAGCTCCCTTTCCAGCTCCCTGCATGAGGCCTGGGAAATCAGTCGAGAATGGCATAAAGCCTTGGGACCCTGCACCTGTGTGGGAGACCCAGAAGAAGCTTCCAGCTTCAGACTGGCTCAGCTCTGGCCATTGCGGCCATGTGGGGAATGAACCAGCAGATGAAGATCTTTTTCTCTGTCTCTCCTTCTCTCTGTAAATCTGACTTTCCAACGAAAATAAATCTATCTTAAAAAAGAGATAAAAAGTGAACTGCATTTGCCAAAAAAAGGTTAATAATCAATATGTATAAAAACAACGAAACAACAACCCCCTCCCCCGATCCCGATGACTCCCTCCCCGGGTCCTCTGGTCTACCTGGGCATGTCTGCAAGGCTTCCAGCTCGTCGGCATCGAGGTGCACGTAGGGATGCAGGATGGACCAGTCCTGTCGGTGCCACACTAGGGCAGGCAGAGTCCTGGGGAAATCAAGGCAAGAACCCAAATGGCTGCTGGCCTAGCCCTTGGCTGCTCTGCCTCCTCCTGCCCGGGCTGTGCAGGCCTCATCAGGCAGGGGGAAGCCACACCCCAACTTCACCGGCAAGCACCTCCCAGCTTGAGATTAAAGCAACGCCATGTCTTAAGTTCTGTCTGGCTCCCCACAGCACCCAGATACAGGAAGGAAAAAAAGGAAGCAATTGTCTCATCCACTTTCCCCCATTCCTCGACCCTTCCCACCCTGACTGGTCCATGTGGGCATGCGTCCTTCTCAACTATGTAAGCACCATCAAAAGTAAAATGAATTTCTTTAAAAAAAAAAAAATGTGTTCTGGTCAGATGAGCTACGAACAGCTCGTCAATTTTCCAAAGACCTCCACAGTGGCAGGCAGTGACACAAAGTTTTCCTCCCGACAACACAGCCTGCGGGCTGCCATGGCGAGGGAGTCTGGGGGGAAAGCACAGCATGACCCTCTTGCAGCAAGAAACTCTTGGGGGAGGGGGAACCTTTCGGGAAGTCTCCCAGCTACATCTAAAATTCCAGTCAAGTTTGCAAGCCATGTTGGATTTCCTAAAAAACCTTCAGTTTTTTAAACGTGCCAAATATATCTGGGGCTTTTTGCTCCCCATCCCAGAGATCGTTCTTGGTTTAGGAATTCCGGTGTTGCTGTGTGTCTGTGTGTTTTTTTAATTCTTTCTATGAAGTTTTTTTTTAACCTAGTTTTTTTTTTTAACTGAAAAAGAGGATATACAGAGAGGAGGAGAGGCAGAGAGGAAGATCCTCCATCCGGTAGTTCACTCCCCAAGCAGCCGCAACGGTTGAATCTGAGTCAATCCGAAGCCAGGAGCCAGGAGCTTCTTCTGGGTCTCCCAAGCGGGTGTAGGGTCCCAAAGCTCTGGGCTGTCCTCGACTGCTTTCCCAAGCCACAGGGAGGGAGCTGGATGGGAAGCAGGGCTACTGGGATTAGGACCAATGCCCATATGGGGTCCTGGCACGTGCAAGGCGAGGACCTTAACCACTACACCATCACGCCAGGCCCTGCTATGCGTTTTTTAATTGTTCTTTCCTCCAAGGTGTGCCTTACAGGGACTGGGTTCCTTCCCCACGTGTGCAGGAAGCATCAACCTGTGGGAACAAGCTGACCGGGCAGAAGACTGCAAGGGCTTGGAGCCAGAGAGCGGAGAGGGAAAGTTCTGGCTCTCTAACCCATTTTCTCATTCATAAAATAGAGTATTACACACTTCCTGATAGGGTTCTTGTCACGACTAAATTTAATAATTTAAGATGTCTTATATAACTCCCAGCACATGGTAAATACAGCACAAATGCCAACCACCATTGCGTTAAAAAAAAAAAAAAGATTTAAAAGCAAGTTAAAACTTGGTAAGCTCATATATATATTTACAGGAATGTATAATTAAAAAAAAACTTTTATATGTATCAAAAATAAAAAAGTCTTTGGTCAAAGAGAACAGAAGGAACGATTTACCTCAAATAAGGACAGCAAGCCATGGCCTGTGGGCCAGCTGCCTATCTTTCTAAATAAAGTTTTCTGAACAAGCCATGCCCATTCATTTAACATGGGTGCTTTAGTGTTACCCGGACAGTTGAGAGCCTGGCTCAGAGATAATACGGCTTACAGACCTAACATATTTAAGTGTCTGGCACCCAGTCTGTTAACTCCCTGCACTCAAACAGTCCTAGTCCTAAATTAATCTGTCCAAATTCAGTTGACCTTGAACTACTAGATCTTAACTGAAACATCAGACCAAAATGGTATTTCCCCCGACACTAACAAATTGTATTTATATCAAACATGCAACAAGCCACCAAGGAAGCTCCGACTTCTGAATATTTAGAGCCAGTACCTGGTAAATTCCTGGACAGCTTCTATTTTGGGGTGATAAGCAGCAATTCTCTTCTTCAGCATCAGTGCAGTGTGTAAGATGATTGTTTCCATTCCAAACTGAGAGACAATGTCTTTAAAAAAGAAATGAACACATTAGATAGTATGTAAGAACATAAGCATTTAAAAATGAATACAGTTAATTTGTATTTATTTGAAAGAAATAGACATGTCTCCCACACACTGGTTCACTCCCCAAATGACTGCAACAGCAGAGGCTGGGCCAGGCCAAGGCCTGGAGCCTGCAGCTCTACCCAAGCCTCCCTGTGTGGCTGGCAGGGACCCAAGTCTTGGCCGTGAGCTGCTGTGTCTCACAGAGCTGTAACTATAAGTGGAGCCAGAACTCACCCAGGCACACTGGTAGGTGTGGGCCTGCCAAATGGAACTGACTGATACATCAGCCCAAGACACAGAACTTTTTATCAAAAGGAATTTATCACATAAATGAAAAATGACTTTTCAAATGTATTTGTATTATTTCAGGAACAGACCACATATGAGCTAACATCTACTAGTGCCCTTCTGAACTGAGCTCAGTGATGGGGACTAGCCAGGCTGAAACCAGAAGTCAGATACTTAATCCAGCTCTCCCACTGGGGGGGCAGGAACCCAATTACTTAGGCACCCATCACTGCTTCCCAGGGCTGGCGTTATCAAGAAGTTAGTACCAGGAGCCCTAGCTAAGTACTGTGGGATGTGGGTTTCCCACTAGTGTCTTAAATGGTAGGTCACATTATCTCCTTTCCCCTAAAAAAAGCAAATATTAGACCCAGCGTGGTGATCTAGCAGCTAAAGTTCTCACCTTGAACATGCCAGGGTTCCGGTTCTAATCCCATCAGTCCCGCTTCCCATCCAGTTCCCTACTTGGCCTGGGAAAGCAGTCAAGGATGGCCCAAAGGAATGGGACCTTGTACCTGAGTGGGAGACCCGGAAGAGCTCCAAGCTCCTGGCTTTGGATTGGCTCAGCTCCAGCCATTGCAGTCACTTGGGAAGTGAATCATCGGATGAAGGATCTTCCTCTCTGTCTCCCCTCCTCTCTGTATATCTAACTTTGCAATAAAAATAAATAAATCTTAAATTTAAAAAAGGAGCAAATATTATTCCTTAAAAGAAAAGATTTATGTATGTATGGACATTTTTGAAAGGCAGAGAGAGAGAATTTTTCCCACGTTGGATTACTCCACAAACGGCTGTAACGGCTAGGGCACGTCCAGGTCAAAGCCAGGAACTTGGAAGCCCACCCAGTGCACCAGGCTGGCAGCGCCAAGTGCTCGGGTTAGCATCTACAGTTCTCCCAGGTGTGTTAGGAAGATGGATTGGAAACAGAACAGGATGACACTGAAGCAAACAATCATTCAACCTCATAAATTATACAGGATCCGAGATGGACACTTGTTCATGTCCCAGCTGCTCCACTTCCCATCCAGCTCCCTGCTTGTGGCCTGGGAAAGCAGCAGAGGATGGCCCAAAGCCTTGGGACCCTGCACCCGTGTGGGAGGCGTGGAAGAAATTCCTGGATCCTGGCTTTGGCTCGGCATAGCATCGGCCGTTGCAGTCATTTGGGGAGTGAATCATGGGACGAAAGATCTTTCTCACTGTCTCTCCTCCTCTCTGTATATCTGCCTTTCCAATAAAAATAAATAAATCTTTAAAGAAAAAGACTAACTACTAACCCCTTTGCTTGCACCACTACTTAAATCATTTTGACCTAACACCTTCACAGGGATGTTTAAAAACCACAACAGGTAGCAGGATCCAGAGCAAAGCCAGGTGACTGGGAAGAAGTTAGGAGAAGGAGTCACCTTCAGCGCTTCCCTCTCCTGCTCTAGAGTCTTGAACCGTCTTGAACTGTATACCTTAGCTCTGGGCTGGCTCTGCCACTTTGCATTTTCTGACTGGGAGCTGAATTAAGAATTCTGGGCCAAGGCTTGATGTCTGCAGGTAGAAGACAGCACGGCTAAGGCTTAAAGAGAGAAAACCATGGGCAAACAGTGGAGGCCTTGAGCTGTCAAACTAGCTGGTTGATCAAACATCCCACAGACAGGCATTGGTATAGCGGTTAAGAGGTCACTTGGGTGCCTAGATCTTAGAGCCAGCTTTGTGTCAGGGCAGATGCTAAGGGGCAGCAGGTGATGGGGCTGATCTTATGGCATATCAAGTTAAGCTTCCATCTGTGGCACTGGCATCCCAGACAGGCATGGGTTCGTGTCCCAGCTGCTCCACTTCCCATCAGGTTCCCTGCTTGTGGCCTGTAAAAGCAGCAGAGGATGATCCAATGCCTTGGGACCCTGCACCCATGTGAGAGACTCAGAAGCTATTCCTGGCTTTGGATCGACTCAGCTCCAGCTGCTGCAGCCACCTGGGGAGTGAAGCAGCAGATGGACAATCTTTTTGTGTCTGCTGGCTACTGATTTAAGATTGGACCAGCGCTTGTGTGGACTGGAGAATCAATCAGTAGACGGGAGATCTCCCCTTCTATCGCTCTTCGTCTTTACAATAAATAAACACATTAAAAAAAAAAGAACATTTCTGTAATAATAGAATAATATAAAAATGTTTTTCTCTGATAGAATTTTGAGTGAGGAAAAACAGAAGCTAAAGTAATGTCCTGTGTGGAAAGCAAGGGTGACAGAACGGCAGCTGGAAAGAGAGTGCACCCGAGTTCAAGGAGAGATTATTCTGGGCTCAGGGATTCCAGTGTTGCTATGCGAATTTCCCACTTCCCTCCTTTCTCGTTACCTTTAACGGAGCCTGCAAGGTACGCCTTCCGGGCATCAAAGTCCTTGCTGAGGAAAGAGCCGTTCTCCTCACTCTGGCATACTCCCTTTGTGAGAACGGCAATGTAGCTCTCCATCATCTTCACTGGGCTCCCATGCTTCAGGTACATCCTGCAGGAAAGGACAAAAAGCAACCATGCCCCTCGTTGACCTCAGTCACTTGGAGAGGCACCCAGGTAGGCACAGGTCATCTGCAAAGCCATTACTACTGCCCTTGCAGGCTCCTGCACCTGTTCGTGACACGTGAGTGTGCCCACGTTCCTGCCTGAGTGTGGCTAGAGAATATGTTGAATAAACCCCACGTGACAGCTCTCCAACCATTCTTCCCATCAAATCGGCTCTCTGCCCACACTGGGAGGCCTGCTGCACCCCACCGAGGCAGCAGGAAGAACTAGTGCTCTAGGGAACATCGCTTACTCATCTCTTCTCACACCTGATCCTCCCAACTGGCGCTCTGAGTCACCCAGCTCTGTTTTATGGCTGGGGTTTCCTTTGACAAGACAGCAGTTTTATGCATTGTTCACACAGAAAGCAGTCATTAGCTGTAGAACCCATACTTATCATCAGAGTTCCCAGGGGTAGCTATATTTAGATAATTAAGAAATAAAAACTCTAAAGTTTCCAGGGATAAATGTGTTACTAGAGACATTCATAATCAAGTCAAAACTTCCAGAAAATGCTGACAGGAAACTGTCTGCATTCAGAGCTCACGTGTGGAGCCAGTCTCTTCCCCTTGACTTCTCTTCCGATGAGCGACTAAAAATAAACTGTGCCTGAGAAACAGGATTGGGTCCATTCGGGCCTTTCACCAGCTCGTATGAAAGAAAAGTGGGGAGGAAATAGAACTGATCCTTTGAGACAGATAATCTGAATATCAGATTACTCCATGTTAAGTTTAAGATCGAATATTTTAACAACCTGGAAATTCTGGCAATTATCAGAGTCTTTCTTTTGAATTTACACATTGAGAAAGAAGGTAAAGAATAAGGAATACTGTAAGTTCTCTTGTAAGGCAAATACATGCAAACCTAAGAACTCACATACTTAAACATGGAGGAAACAGCCTCTGGTGGGGGTCCCGGGAGCTGCATGAAGGCGACCTGCAGGGCCTGAGGGGGCAGGGGCAATCTCTGTGTGGCTTCCCCTGCCACTGGGCACACTGGCTTGCTTCTCTCACCAGGAACAGAGAACGGCAACTCCATCCACAATGACCTCACCACCATGCAACTGTCTGTCTACGAGGCCATGCGTGGGCACGCAGACACCTGTGCAGGATGTATGCAGGGGCACATGGCGTGCAGGCACACGGGATGACCCTCAGGTGCCCGAGGGGCATGGGGCAGGGCTGGCGGCTGACAGGAGCCCCCAGCCCCTCCTCCTCCTGCAGCACTGTGTGAGAAGCCAGTGTGCAGTGACACCACGGCCCTGCAGCTGCCTCCAGGAATCCTCCAGGCTTCCTCCTGGGCAGGCGATGGGGCTGGAGGCCACTCTGCCTTCTGCACCTAGAACATTCCCCCCATGAGCCGTCAGTAGCCTCACTCTGACTCAGTCAACTGCAGCGTGGTCCAGTGCTTTAAAAACACCCTGCAGTGTTTTGAACTCATGGTCTCTAGACAGTGTCTCCACAAGCAATGATCATTTCCCTTTGTGCCAGGGCCACATTAGCTGACAACTGCTTACATTCCAGCGTGAGCCACATAGTTTATGTGGACTTTATCTTACACAGTAAGTTTTTGTTACCATAGCTGGCTGCAAAAACAGTAAAGCCTCATTCAGTCCCAGTGCAATGTTAACCGCAGCCCTTAAGTAACAAGCACATATTCTGACAAGGGTCTTTTCTTTTGGATCGTGTGTGTAGTGCATGTGTCTATGCATGTAGAAGCGCAAAAATGGCAAATGGTCAGCCATTTACTTTTCTTACAGGGAAAAGCATAAACAGTTACTTATTGGGCAAGCGCCTCAGAGCTCAAGGCCACACACGACATCTAGAATTTTAATTCTATCCTGTAACACAGGCAACAAACACAAAATTCCCCCAAAATTAAACTTTGCAAAAGCTTTCAGAAAGACCCAATGCCTTAAACCAAAGGCATAATTTCATTAATGCCAAGGCAGGAGAGCAAACTGCTGATTTTAGATATGTGTTTTCTACAGCTGGGATGAAACCAGAGGAATCTACTTCAACCACAACTAATCAGTTAACTCGACTGACTAATACCCTCATGAGGGGCATTCCAGCTAGGAAATGTTTCCGTGTTTCGCATTATCAAGAATCTCCACTTTCTCCAGGAAGACTGTAACATGCTGACCACGACATGTATGGACCACCTGAGAAGAGATTTATCCACCTTGCCAAGCAAAGTTCTAGTTGGGCAGAGAGGAAAAGTAACAGACCAAAAGTGTCAAGTGTCCCCACATAAGCAGGCACTACAGGAGCTCTGCAAACCTTTTTCTCTTCACCAAGATGTGGTTTTCCCACGTAAGAGCAGTGTCAGCAAGGTCCCAGACAAGTTCCCCTTTGCGTAACCGTCCCCGAAGGGCCATTAGCCATTAGGCTGGGCAGAAGGGGCTGAACATGCTTCCTCAGTGTGCAAACTGGTTATGTGCAGTGCTGAGCGAGATCTTTACTCTGGCAAATAAGCATTTAATAGTTTTCATACAGACCTACACAATATCCTAGCGAAGGCGGCATATTTCTCTGGGTTAAAATCTTTGGCGGTCAGAACAATAGAAAAATGAGTCACCTGTCCCAAAAGAAACAAAAAAAGTACATGTTTTAAACATACTGTTGTAGAATGAATTCATATTACTACATTCTAGCAAACCTTTGAACAAGATATATCAGTACCAAGAAGACCAAAAATGGCAGAGTCCCCACTTACTTCTTTATACTTTATGTTTGCATAAGTGTCCACACATGTATTTACTTACATATATTCAATTTTCTCCTTAAGAAAGCAACATTCTTAAGACATTTTCAAAACATGTGGGTCACTGCCATGGCTCAACAAACTAATCCTTCATCTTCAAGCGTCCGGATCCCTTATGGGTGCCAGTTCATATCCCGCCTGCTGCATTTCCCACCCAGCTCCCTGCTTGTGGCCTGGGAAAGCAGTCGAGGACAGCCCAAAGCTCTGGACCCTGCACCCACATGGGAGATCCAGAAGAAGCTCCTGGCTCCTGGAATTGGATTGGCTCAGCTGTGGCCACTGCAGTCACTCGGGGAGTGAACAAGCAGATGGAAGATCTTTCTGTCTCTCCTCCTCTCTGTAAATCTGACTTCCCAATAAAAATAAATGCATTTTTTTAGAAATGCTAGCACCTGGTATTTATGAATGAGACTCTAACTAGGCTCCTGTCACAGTGAGTGTGACCCAAGTAAACGCCCCAGGATTTTGATCACACACATAACACTCCCATCAACAAGACACAATCCAGAAATATACTCTTGAAAACACTGGGAGACACAGACATGGCCCTGGCGCTGCTGGAAGGCGGAGCCTGGGAGGATGGCAGTGGGCAGCAGCCAGGCTTCCCGCAGGACGCCCTCGGGTGGAGAGCTGAGGAGCCACAGCAGAGGGAGACCTTCTTCCAGATTCACATTTCCTCCTGAGGCTCCGTTCTGTCTTGTTCTGTCTTCGAGCCAGCACAGTCCTGCACTGCTGCCTTCCTTAAACACAACTCTGCATGTTTAAATTGGTATTCCAGCATAGCACAGCACCTTCATTCACTATGCTCCTGTTTGAAAAACCTGCCTGACTTAGGAAAGTCCACAACAACCATATATACTTTATTTTCTTTTATTATTATTTTATTTTGATGATCTTTACATAGTTGATTAGGGCACAAAGGGTCAAGGGCTACAGGAAAGCAGGTAAGACCACTGTTTCCACATTCTCTCTCTTTTTCCTGTATCTGGGGGAAGTGGGGAGATAAAGGGAGAAGCCCCACCCAGCCTCCCACCCATCCCAGGTCTCCAACATGAGGCATACTCTGAGGGCACTGATCAAGTGGTTTTGATATTTCAACAGTTCTGAATTGCTGCCAATCTCGCCATTCAAAGCATGATGTTTTTTAAAAGACTTATTTATTTATTTTAATGGGAAAGTCATATCTATAAAAGAGAAGGAGAAACAGAGAGAAAGATCCTCCATCCTCTGGTTCACTGCCCAAGTAGCCAAAGCTGCCTGGAGCTAAGCTTCTTCCTGGTCCCTCACACGGGTGCAGGGTCCCAGGTGTCTTCGACTGCTTTTCCAGGCCACAAGTTGGGAGCTGGATAGAAGCGGGGCAGCCAGGACACAAACCAGTGCCCATATGGGATCCAGGCTCATGCAAGGCGAGTACCCCAGCCACTGGGCTGTAGCACAGAGCCCAACCATATATAATTTTCCACACAGCACACTGATATTGGGTATGTGAATATACCAAACACCCTGCTTCATACATGAATTTTCTTAATTATTCTTTCCAATTTTTTTATTTACTTATTTGAAAGGCAAAGTGACAGAGATATTCATCCTATAAGGAAGTTGTACAAACAGTCGTTCCACTCGCTTTCCCTAGTCCTCAACTCTTCCCACTCTAATCAACTGTGTAAACATCATAAAAAATAAAATTCAAGAAATATATTCTTTCTATTGGCTCATTCCCAAGTGCCCACAACAGCCAGGGTTGGACTAGCCTGATGCGAGCTGAGCGGAACGCAGTCTGGGTTTCCCACAATGCCGCAGCAGGCGAAGCACTGGAGCTGCCAGCGCGGCCTCATACAGACCCACAGTGGCAGGATGCAAAGCGGCAGAGCCAGGACTCCAACTGGCACTCTGAAATGGCATCCCCAGGGGTGGCTAACGCCTGGCTCCTCAATTTTGTTTCCTTGTAAGAATTTTACCTTGCTATTTTGTTTTGAAAATTCTGAAACATGCTGAGAGGGTGACAGGCTGAGACAGGCGTCATGTAATGGAGACCGTGGAGAATATTTCTAGAAGAAATGAGCGCTGAAGAGTACGCTCTCAGTGAAATTGAGAGCATCCCCGAAGCACTGGGCGTGACAGGAAGCCACCTGCACGCTCTCCCCTCACCTGGGCTTCCTTGCCCAGCCTCGCAGTCATACCTTTTTCAACACCGAGGCATCAGGAACTTCAACTGTGGTGATGTAAAACCACGTTCTGCGGTACTGGCCGAAGACGAAGGGACGCAGCGGCGCGGCATCCTGGGTGAGGCAGCACTTCCTCAGCAGCAGACTCCGCAGGGCGGCCGTGGTGCGAGGGTAGCACCACACCCACAGAGTCTCTCCGTTCGTGTCCTTCTCTGAGGTGGAGACATGCTCACTGTGGAACGCTCGCCAGGCAGCATGGCCTCGAAGCACCACACACCGGTGCAATCCATTGAAGCACCCCCTTGCCAAAGCAGAGCCCGCAGCCGGCAAATGCCACCTTACCCCTACCGCGTCCAGCTCCCACCCTCCACTCCTTGAGTTTTAGGTCACTTGAGTGAAAAACTCTTACAACAAATCCTGAGTGAAAACATTGAACCCTAGGGGTTGAGTGGAGTTCCTCTCTATCTCATCCTAAACAAACACTTCTACATGTATTTAAAATATATAAATAAAATAATAATAAGTGAATAAAATAATAATAAGTTATATGAAAAAAAATGTAAAAGCTGCTGAATTGAACATCTGGTCACAGACCATTTTTTTTCTTCCTTGTTCTCAGATAAAGCCACAGTTTAACTGAGCTGTATTCAGCACCTTCAAGGCAGAACTAAGACAGTAGGAGCTTTTGATTCTGCTTTGAGGCAGTTTTAACACCACATTTAGAAATGGGATGGGTGCAATGGCTTAACTGGCTAATCCTATGCCTGTAAGCACCGGGATCCCATATGGGCTCCGGTTCTAATCCTGGCGGCTCCACTTCCCATCCAGCTCCCTGCTTGCGCCTGGAAAAGCAGTGGAGGAGGGCCCAAAGCCTTGGGACCCTGCACCCATGTGGGAGACCCGGAAGAAGCTCCTGGCTCCTGGCTTTGGATCAACTCACCCCCAGACATTGTGGTTGCGTGGGGAGTGAACCACCGGACGGAAGATCTTCCTCTCTGTCTCTGTATATCTGCCTTTCCAATAAAAATAAATAAACCTTCAAAAAAATTCTGCCTTTCCAATAAAAATAAATATTAAAAAGTTTTAGGTACCGCCCTCCTGTGAGACACGGAAAAATAATGAGCGCAGCTCTGCAGTTTAGCTAAGCCTGAGAATGGCTCCTGGGGTTGACAGGCGTGTAAAAACCTGGGGAGGATGCGACGGGGGACCTACAAGAACAGCGCACCCCTGAAACGCAGCTGCCGGCTCCCACCAGACTGTCCGGAGACCCCAGTGAAACCCCACTCCCGGCCTGGACCCCCACAACCTCGCATACTTCGGGAGTGCGGGAGCGAGCTGTGTGGGCTGCAGGGCGAAGGACCCTGGCCCCCACCCTACGCTACCCAGCGCACACCCAGCGCGGCCCCCGCAGTCCCGTGGACCCACACCCCGAGGCCCCTGCCCCGCCCGGCCCTGCGGTCAGCTGGGCCCCGGGTCCCCGGGGACCGTGCGAGGCCACACTTGGAAGGGGCCGCGCCTTCCTGGGCCTCCAGGGCCGCCGAGGGCCCAGGAGAGTCGCAGGCCTGCGGGGCAGGGCGCCTGCGTCCTCACCGATCAGCCCCACTCCAAGCATCAGCTGAGTGTCCGCCACCTCGGCCGCAGCCATCTTCCGCCGCCGGGCTCCGCCCCCACCGACCACGCCCCCACGGTGGGCCACGCCCCCGGACTTCCGGATCCGGGCGTGCTCTTCCTGGGTCCTTGGCGCTGAGTCCAAAGACAGGGTCCTGGACAAGCGAGAGACTATTGCAGGCTGAGTCAGAGCAACCACTAGCATGCGCGCGACCTATGGCTGGGAACAGTCCCGGTTAGGGAGCCAAGGGGACACCCAAGCTGAGTTGAGGTTCCCGCCGAAGAGCGCGGGGGCTGGAATGGGGGCTTCGTTCTGATCAGGATAGGATTGTAGTCTCCCTTGGCACAAGTGTGGACTGGGACTGGGCACACCGAGCCGGACCAGACTCCAACACCCTCTGGTGTCCTGGAGGACCAGGGTAGATGTGGGACAGACTAGGCTAGGTCTCAGCCCCTACTGAACCATGTGTGAGCTGTATGTCAGTATGGACAAGCCGTGGCTGGGCTGAAACTTCCAATAATAAGAACCAGAATGGGTTGAAAGCCAGTTAGGAAAAGTCACTGTTCCTGCTAAGACAGGAGGTGAACTGAGTAGGGCTGGCTCATGGACCCACCGTATGCGCGAAATCTGGCATTGGGAGAGGTTCTGATGGAGGAGCCTGGGCAACTCCTCTGGCAGGACACAGACCCTGCAGGTAAGTGCAAGAAGCGTGATAGGAAACAGCCCAGAACGGGCCATATAAAGTTTCCCACTGGCATACATTTGGCATGGGTCGGGGGCAGACTAGGCTGAACCAGTTTACATTACCCACTGGCAAATCTGAGCACCGGAACAGAGTGTGGGTTGAACCAGGTTTGGTCGTGACAAAAACCAGTGCACATTACAGAATGCCAAGGTGAGGTGACCCGTATCAGATGTGGCCACAGTGCCCAAGCAGCACGCGTGAGAACCAGGGAGAGAGGGAGCAGAGCCAACAGGGGGAATGTGGAGGGTTCCCCTGCTGGACAGCTACTCCCACTGGAGAGCGTGGGTTGGGATGGGGGCAGACCAGGCCAGGCAGGGCTATAGCACCCGTGGGCCTCATGTGGACTAGATCAAGGAGAAGCCAGGTTGAGCTGACTATTCCGACTGGTACAAGCAGAAATTGGAGTGGGTAAGGGTTGATTGGGCTTTTCCGCAGTGTCATTCAGCAAAAAAAAAAAGACACACTCTCTCTACCCTCCCATATATATATCCCCATACCTACATATATATAAAGATTATATATATATATATGCCCATACCTATATAAATAACATAACCTCTGTAAACCTCCTCTCTGTAAATCTGCCTTTCAAATAAGGATAAAAGGGCCCAAAAAGCATAAGGGCCCAATGCAGTAGCCTAGTGGTGAAAGTCCTCACCTTGCAAGCACCAGGATCCCATATGGGCACTGGTTTTAACCACAGCAGCTCCACTTCCCATCCAGCTCCCTGCTCGTGGACTGGAAAAGCAATCGAGAACAGCCCAAAGGCTTGGGACCCTGAACCCGTGTGGGAGACCTGGAAGAAGCCCCTGGCTCCTGGCTTCGGATCAGCTCAGCACCAGCCCTTGCAGCCACTTGGGAAGTGAATCAGTGGACAGGAAGATCTTCCTGTTTCTCCTCTCTGTAAATCTGACTTTCCAATAAAAATAAAATAGAAAATTTTTTAAAAAGCCTAAGAAGCATTGGAAAATATTCAAATGTTAATCATCAGTTTTCTTTTTTTTTTTTTTTTTAAAGATTTACTTATTATTGGAAAGTGTCTCTCCTCCTCTCTGTATATCCACTGGGAGGATTTACAGGGGTGTTGCATGCAGGGAGAGTAAGGGTAGTGAGGGTTCTGCCCGGGTTCCCAGAGGCTGGGTCCCAGAGTTGCATAGGAGAAGGTATTTATGGGAAGGTGGGAGGATGCCCGAGGTGAACCCGGCCCGCCTCCGATTTCACCACTTTGGGCTGGCAGACCCGCTGGACAGGTCCGCAGGAGTGGGGGTGGGGAGAGAGGGAAGTACTGGCCCTAAGCCTGAGAACACCTGACTGCTGAGGCTGCGGACGCTCAGCCTGCACGCCCCAAGCCTTTGTCCTAAGCACTGGACTTCCTCAGTGCTGCGGTGGGGCTCGCCTGTCTTTTCTCAGGCCTCTCACAGTGAACTTTAAACAGGAAAAATCTTCAGGCTAACTCAAGCCTTCAGTGCGGGAGAGGGTCCCTCAGAAAACCTCAGGACCCAGCAATGTCTTACAAGGCTGGAGAGCAGCACAGTTCTACAGTCAGAGAGGTGCAGAGTGTCAGGGGAGCAGGGACGGTGCCCCCAGAGGAGACCAGGCCCGAGCTCGGAGTCCTTGTCCAGGAGAGTCAAATGGCACACACTTACCTCAGCAGTAACAAGGGGTGACAACACCTGAGGACACTCACTAGAAGTCAGTGCACAGATTCTAATCAGGGGCCCATATCAGTAGATTGCTTACACATATGTATTTCATTAAAAATATTTATTCACTTCAAAAAATATATTTATTGAGCTTCTTCTAGGTCTCCCATGCAGTTGCAGGGTCCCAAGGCATTGGGCTGTCCTCAACTGCCTTCTCAGGCCACAAGCAGGGAGCTGGATGGGAAGCAGGGCTGCTGGGATTAGAACTGGTTGCCATATGGGATTCCGACTCTTGCAAGGCAAGGACTTCAGCTGCTAGGCCCCCCTATATATATTCCAAATCTGAAACAATTAAAATACTTGGAAGGGCAAGAGTTGTGGCACCCTTTGTGCCTATCCAAATTCCAAACCCTTGGCACAAGCTCCGTTGTTTGCACTAATAGTTGAGGCTGCAATGATTACATGTCAGTTCCGGGAACAGTGAGAACACCACTCAAGTCCAAGTTCCCAGGTTTCAGCCAAGCGCCTGCGACGCCAGCAGCCTAAGCCAAGCTCAGGCCTGCCGACTGGCTCTTTGCTATGCAGTCTGTTTGCTCTGTGCTCCCGAGAAAAAAGCAAGGTGCTGTGGCATCTGGGAAATGGGCATATTAGAAAAGTCCACACCAATCGGGCGTGTGGACATGGGGTGCTACCCTGTGACACCTCTGTGCCCCATTTTTTGATTAAATTCAGTGATGAGAATGGAGAAAAAGAACAGCTACATTGGCTCCCAGGGACCTGGGAACTGGAACATCCGTGGAAGATTCTTCAGGCTTCAAAGAAGCTTCATTCGCTCCCCTTTCTATCCTGACAGATAGCTGACTTCCAGCATAGGTGAACTTCCAGAACGTTCCCCAGAAGCAGCTGTGCTTCTTGTGTTCCTCTAAGTTTGGGGACACCAAGAACCCAGCACTGTAATTGTATTACATTAAAAAGAAATTTAGCAGGAAAAATGTCATTAAAATAAAAATTCTGTCCCCAGCTGTGGGCAATGGCCTATGTTGCATTGTACCTAGACAAGTTACACTGCTGGGAGAAGAGCAGCTAATAGCTGGCAGGTACCTTGGGCTTGGTTAGTGTCAAATCTGTGTTAACAATACCAATGTGCCAGCATAGTTGCCTAGCATATTCTATTTTTTTTTCTAAAGATATGTTGGAGGGGATGCCAGATCAGTTAGTCTTGAGGTTTGGGGTCCAGCAGAGCCTGTGGCACCTGGCCTGGGTCCTTTGGCCTGCCTGGTGGTGGGTGACAGGTTCCGAATTCCTGGTGGTGGGGGTGTCCAGTGGGGCCTAGGTCAGGTGGCCTTGGGTGCCATTGGCTCTGGGTCATGCCCACTGGCTGCCCAGCTGGGTGCTTATTGGGGCTTGGTGTGTGGGTTTGGAGGGGTCTGGGTTGAGTGTCCAGGTCCATGTCCAGGTTGAGTGGTCTGACCATAGAGTGCCTGTGTCAGAACTGGACCTCCTCAATGGAAAAAGACCGAACAGTGGCTGGTGGGCCCAGATGCACACAGAGGATATGGCAGCTCATAGGGGTCTGCAGAGGACATCTGAGGACAGCAGAGGGAGGAGGGGGGAACAAATTGGACAGCTACTTTAGCCAAGTGGTAACAGCAAATATCTGGGCAAATGGAGACCCTGAGGTGGACTATGTCAGCCAGTGGACCTTGGAAGGATTTTCTCATCCTTGGATTGGTAAGATTGACAGCATTTGAGAACTATCTAAATCATTTTAGCAGAACCCTCAGAACATGCTCTACACTGGGGACCCTAGGTTGATATCAGGCCGTCATTCTCCATCCTTGGGTACTGGGGTGGTTGGGAGGATGGGTGTGGCTTCTCCACTAATCATCGCCCTCCCCGCAAATATAGGAGGAAGAATAAAATTTGGGGGAGGTGGGGGTTGTTGGGGGTCAGGGCGGTTGTAAAGCTTCTACGTGCAGGTTCTCAGAACTTTGCAGTGAAATAAAAAAAAAAGAGAGAAAGAGAAAACTTGGAAACAATGGTCTCACCCACTTTCCTCTAATCCTTGGTCCTTCCCACCCTGATCAACTATGTAAACATCATCAAAACTAAAAATTTAAAGAAAAATACTGATCCTTAACTGCATTTTCAAGGAACACTAAAAAGGAAAGAATCAATCATGTTAACGATACATCTTACAATTTCCTTCCCCTATGCTTTTTAAAAAAATTTTTTAAATTTATTTGAAAGTCAGAATTATGGAGAAAGGGAGACAACCCGTAAGTTCACCCAACGCCCACGATGGCCATAAAGGCCAGGGCTGGGGCAGGCTGAAGCCAGCAGCTTTATGGGGTCTTCCAGGCAGGGGACAGGGTCCAAATGTTGAGCCCCCGCTTTCTCCCAGGTGATTAGCAGGGATCTGCATAGCAAGTGGAGCAGCTGGGACTGGAACAAGAGCCCATATTAACCCACTGCACTACATCATCAGCGCCAGATCTAACTATTTTTTTTTTAAAGATTTATTTATTTTTATTGGAAAGACATGTTTACAGAGACAAGGGGAAACAAGAGAGGGAAGGATCTTCTGTCTGCTGGTTCACTCCCCAAGTGGCCACAATGACTGGAGCTGAGCCAATCCGAAGCCAGGAGCC